GAAAATGAAAGATGTGGCAGACGGTCGGCGACCACCAGTTTCAAAAATCACTAATGGATTTTTAATATAATAAATAGTATGCACTAACATAAAATGTCCATAAAACGCTTTTGTCATCCATTAGGATACACACACTCCATTCCATTCCATGACAGAAGTAAGGGAGAGTAAGGGTTTTGGGGTTTATTTCGGGTATTGCCTCCCCAAAAATATAGATCCACTTTTGATGAGAAAGGCAACAAGGAAGCAAAAGCAAAAGCAGAAAGGCTTCGATATAATTGAATAGATACACCATTATTTCCATTAACCTTCCGATAGACACACAAAGTGCTACTTTAGCCCACAAAAACCACACAAAAGTATCGCCCACACAAAGGACAGGGCTCCTGAAAAGGCGAATAGGGCTCCGACAGGTAGACAGGTGGGTAGGTGGGCTGGTATCTGGGAGAAAGTGTTGAAAGCTAGTTATCTATGCTGCCAAAACAGATTGAATTGAAATTAAATATTATAAATTATAAGGAAATGGAACTAGGCTACACTCATTAGAAAGGATATCATAGCTATGAGGATGTCCATATCGATACATCATATTAAAAGGGCATTCTGCATTCAACAAAGTCCAGACCAGCCCAGACCAGCACCCAGAACCATGTCGGGGAATCGAACCAAATCAATAATTCATTAAAATAATGTATGCATAAAGGATGGATGTTTATGGTCAATGGCTCTGTAGCTCAGCTCAGCTCAGTACTGTTGCTGCTGCTGGCATCACAACAACAAAAAATAGAAATACATATCCTGGCCAAAAAGCAACAGATCCTGTGAAATATATGCATTCACATGCCGGGATAATCCATGCAAATCGAACGACTGTATATATAGATATAACTACATATTTATTGGCTCGATGGTGGCCAATTGGTGACAAAATCCTGATGTAATCCCCCAACAATGTTGTTAACAAGTGAAGTGAAAATACGGCTCACCATTCACTCCAGTTTTTTTTTGGAAAAAAAAACTAAGCGGATATGTAGATCTGTGAAGCTGCAACCAGTTGCCAGTTGCGAGAGTTAAAAGTTGGCAATAAAGTGAAAAGTTTGCCCCGAAATGGTTACTGGCAGGACGATGCCGGACGAACCAGAAACGAGGATAAGGATAAGGCCAAACAATCAAGCAAGCACTTAACCGAATGAAATACAAGTAAACAAATGAAAGTAAGTAAACACAAGACAAGCCATAGAGCAAAGAGCCGGTGCACAGATAAAGATACAGCTCAAGATACTACAGATGCAGATACAGCTACTACAGCAGATACCAGCAACCAAGCCCAGATACGGCCCAGACACTATACCAGACCAGACCAGACCAGCTCAGACCTCCTCCATCCTCGGGCCTGGTCAAAAAACTAAAGCAATGAAATAAAATGAAAATGCATTAAGTATGCAGATGGAGTGCTCTGCACTCTTCGCGACGATAAAGCACCGAGACCCTACACTGCAGATAATACTATAAACTTTTATTGGTTCTCTGCAAGTCTCTAGGGATACTTGTCTTTCATGTTAGTCCATTTCATTGCCAATCCAAAATCAAATAATAGAAGGAAAACCAGCAGTTTCTTTTTGAAAAGTGCACAATAGAAGAATCGTGGAGTCCGGTAAATAGAGCTGCTAACGGTCATAACGAAGTTGCCACCACTGTTTGCCACCGGGCAGCCATCAAGTTGATACATGGCCTCCAGCAAGGAACTTGTCACTCAACGCGAGCCTCCATCTCCGCCAGAGAGAAATGGACTCTCTACTCCGAACTCCGAACAGTTTCAAGATGGCACTGCATTTAAATCATTTTTATGTTGAGAGACACAGGCTCACAGGACAACTGAAATTGTTTTCACTATTTAACCTTAATGCGAGTCTCGGGGAAGTCCTGGAGAAGGACGGGTGGGAGGGCTCTTCTCCAAAACAGCGACAAGAATCACACACAGCGAGAGACAACAGCGGCTGCTGTCAGAACTTTTTCTATTAGTTTCGGGTTTGATGAGTTCTGATGTGTCTTTAATGTCGCTTGTGCTCTGCACAACCCTGTGCCTCCTGATGACAACCCTAAACTACATATAATACATGTACAAAGATGCGGAGCCATGTGGTGTTTCAACACAACTTTCAGTTGGCCCATTTCCCTCTCAAGACTATTGGCTTTTTTCCACAAAATATCAAGTTCAGTGGCTTCTGAAATATTTTGTAAAAAAAAAAGAAATAAGGAACTAAAGACTTATTAACTGAAACAAGTAGGCCATAACGCTCAAATATTTTCCTCTGAAATAATGTTTTCAAATTTCTATAAATATTTCTCTCCCAAGTAGGCCTTCAGGCCTTAAACCCAAATGTCAAATCGTAGCCCCAAACTGCTTTCCCATTTCTAGTCATTCGAAGTTTGATCTCGGAACTGTGAGGTCGAATATAAAATTGAGAGTCTGATATTTTTTGAATATTAAAAATATTGTGTCGGAATTTTCCCGTTTTTAAATTAGTATTTGTCAGTTATAATTTTATTTCAAAATGGTGACAGTAAAAGCCCAAGAGGAGACCCAACATCCCAAACAGACCCACAAGAACCGATCCGTATTTAACCCGGATAAGCGTACTGGTCACGTAGCGACGAAACCCGTCGCCAAACCATTCAAGAGATTCGTGAGGAACCCCACTGGGGGTCCAACCATGTCATGCGGGGACAAGTGTGACGGATCCCAAGTTAATCCCGAAACTTAATTGTCAGCGACATGCGCCTCCAATTGTAAGTTCCAGGGATCTATAGCCCTATAGCTTGCATAATGTGGTTCCCTATCTTCAGTGTGCCACGTCCGATTTGATGGCTGCAGGATTCCACAGAGGATCGAGCAGCTGACCAGACACTGGTGTTACCCCAACGAGATGCAAACCGTTCTACGCAATCCTTACAACAAGTGGCACAAATAGGCGCAGTCGCCTCTGACACGTACTTATGTGTTCTACAAAACAAATTCGAGGGATGTTAAAGTTTATATTTCTGGAACTGCTGTATTCCAAAAATTGTTCTGAGTTTCAATAAATTGTTTATGGCCGAGTCAGTAACTATTAATTACTAGTAATTATTTTTATTTGCTCTGGGTCTGGCCATCTTATTATTTCACAAGGATCGGCCGACTATATATCCCATAGCTGCCATCTAACTGACTGATCCGAAATGGTTTTTGGGTAAAAATACCAATTGGTATTTTTGGATATGTATTGCGTTTTTTTTAGATTTTTTTTTTCAATAAATTTTATTGAAAATTTATTTTCATAAGGATCGGGCGGTTTTAACTGTAAGGGTATATCAACGCTGAAAGTTATCTATTCTTTCGTGTTTCTACAATTTTTGTTCTTAAAAAGTATGATTGGTTTGTAAATAAAAATTCAGCCAACTGTAAAATACGGTTTATTGAAAAAACATTATTTTTTGGTGGTGATCCAAGTGAGGAGGGATAGAGGGTCATCATAGGGAAAGTGTAGAGTCCTTAAAGAAAAAAGCTAAACCGCAAAAGACGAATATGTCTTTAGTTTGTAAATTTTTCCCCATCCGTGGTACCAAAACAAAAAAAAACTTAAAAAAAGGAAAAATTATGAGCTTTAGAAAAAAAAATTCATTTTTCCCTCATTTTCTCGTTATTTATTTTATTTTTTTTTTTTTCAATAAAAAATATTTATAAAAGATTTTGGTGCGACGGAAGAATATACTTCTGAGGAACATTTGATGAGGATTGCTGAATTTTTGTGACCTGAAGGACTTCCACCATTTTAAAAATCATGGATTCGAGAAAAATGCTCGACACTCGTCCACCAAACGTCCGATAACTTTTGTAATTTAAGAGATTTCGACTCAGGTTTTGGGAAAGTGAAACTACAAAATATATTTATCCGTAAATGCAAAATAGAAAAAATATTTGATTTCTTTGATTTTACAAAAAATAATCCCCCTTAACTGAAACAAGTAGGCCATGACTCTCAACTGTCAATGCTTTCATTTAAGGCCGACAGGAGCTACATTGTATAGGCTCAGTTTACATCCGACATTCGAACGATTAGGTTGTAGTAGAAGTAAAATATTTTGCACTCATGAAAGATTTTATATTCCCGCGACTCAAACAATTTTTCGGCATATTTTTCAAATTCGATCCGGTGGCTCAATCGTCCGCAACAATGCCAACCCCCCGCGTATCTAGTAAGAAGCGAACCGTTTCAAAATGCCCGAAACGCAAAACGGTCGCGAAGAAACGTCATCCGCTAGTGCGTGCTTTTAAAAGCGGTCCCCATTCCAAAGTTGGTCGCTCCTGCCGGAAGCCGCTTGCGAAGAAGCGGAAGACACAGAAGGCCTGTGCCGCTCCGCAGAAGAAGAAGGCTTTGAAATCCAAGCCCCGCAAGACCACAACGCGGAAGTGCGTTGCCAAACGTCCTTCGAAGCCCAAAAGGGCCAAGCGCCCAAAGCGTTGCTTGAATGGTTTGTTGGATGTTCTCCCAGCTGGTTCTTCTGCCCATCATTTGTGCTTCCTTCCAGCTTCCCAAACTGCTAAGGAACCAACTCCAGAACCTGAAGACCCGCTTTCCCTTCCTAAGGGGAACGAACCTCCAGAGGTGATTCGCCTTTCGACATCGCCTGCACCCAGACGCAGAATCACTCGCAGGCCGGTCGCTAGACCGAGGAACTTGGAGCGTGAGCGTGAGCCTGAGCCTGACTCGGTTACTTTCATACCTGCCCGGGCCGACGAAGCCCCAGCCAAGAAGCTCAAAACGAAGGTTAGCGCCAAAAAGGTGATTGGCGGGCGTACAACGGCGAAGCCCAAGCCCAAGCTTCACGCCAGTGGGTAGGTAACGCTATAGGGCATCTGGGTTCCGGTCCTCACCTTGAATCCCCCACAGAACTTTGAGACGAGTGGCTGCCAAGCTCAAGGCTCATGAGGCCGCAGTTCTTAAGGCGAAGAATCAGGCGAAGAATCAGGCGAAGAAGGAAGATCCCATTGTTAGAATTGAGCCGCAAGAGAGCCACAGCGAAGACAACCGAGAACCGCGATCTTGGCGTCGGGATAATGGCGCGAAGAAAGATAATAAGGCGGTGCGCAAGCATGCGAGACCCTAGACGGACCATTCTTGGCAAACGTGCCATTTTTCAAATTACCAGACGAAGTGTATTTTTCAAATTTCCCGGACGTGCCATTTTTCAAATTCGCCAGACGTAGTGTATTTTTCCAATTTCCCGACGAAGTGTGACCAAATTCGATTTGTATGCGTGCATTTTCTTTTAAATATTTTTGGAGGTGAGACCTTGACAACTTTCGCAAAGGATTTTTCCCTCAACTCGCATATCTCCCATCTATTTCCTAGTTTATGGCAAAATTTGCAGTCTTCAGGGTCGAGAGCAGAGTCAGGAAATAGCCGCAGGAATCAAAATCCCAAAGAAGAACGAAGCTTTTGGAATTTTCATTTGGTAGCCCATCCTCGTGTATTTTGACGTACCTTTTGCATGTTTGGATAGTGATTAGATATCGTAATACAATTGTGTAACAAAATTCAAATACCAATGTTTGTATTTCTTGAGTTGGTGGGTGGGAAGGTGGTTTGGTCAATTATGAGGCCAGGGTGCGTGGAAAATGACTATTTTTGGCATTTTCTTCTCAAGACTATCGGCATTTTTCAATGGCTTCTGAACAAAGCTTGCCAATAATGTAAACCATTCTTGACATCTAGTTTACTATTGGAACTTAACCGAAAATAAAGTATGTTTGTTCTCTCTCTGAAAAAAAACCTTTTTATATTTCGATTTTCGGTTGAATAAAAAATGGATGATCATCAAAAAAAGTCGAACAGAAATATAAAATTGAAAAATATCCAATATCCAGCTTTTATTTTTAACAAGAAAGGAAAGCTAACTTCGGGCGGAGCCGAAGTAGATATACCCTTGCAGTTAAAACCGGATATATATCGCAAACATCGGATATAGTTGGTATATAGTTAGTATATAGTTCTACCAAGTACCATTTCCGATCGTTCAGTTATATGGCAGCTATAGGATATAGTCGGCCGATCCGGGCCGTTCCGACTTATATACTGCGTGCAAAGGAAAGAAGGGTGTGTGCAAAGTTTCAAGACGATAGCTTCAAAACTGAGAGACTAGTTCGCGTAGAAACGGACAGACAGACAGACGGACAGACAGACGGACAGACGGACAGACGGACATGCTCATATCAACTCAGGAGGTGATCCTGATCAAGAATATATATACTTTATAGGGTCGGAGATGTCTCCTTTACTGCGTTGCACACTTTTGGACAAAATTATAATACCCTCTGCAAGGGTATAAAAATCTCAGTGAAACGGTCAGTAACTAACCTGATCAACTTTAACGATAAATATCGGTTTATATCTGCAAGAAACCCTTTAATTTAAAATGCGAAAAATCCAAAAGTGTGCAACGCTGTGATGGAGACATCTCCGATCCTATAAAGTATATATATTATTGATCAGGATACTTTCCTTTGCACGCAGTATATAAGTCGCAATGGCCGGGTCGACTATATCTAATAGCTGCCATAAAACTGAACGATCAAAAATGGTATTTCGTAAAAATACCAATTTTGGTATTTTGAAGATGGAAGCTAGTTTTCTTTTCTTGTTTCAGGTTAATATTTTTATACCCTTGCAGAGGGTATTATAATTTTGGTCAAAAGTGTGCAACGCAGTGAAGGAGACATCTCCGACCCTATAAAGTATGTATATTCTTGATCAGGATCACCTCCTGAGTTGATATGAGCATGCCCGTCTGTCCGTCTGTCTGTCTGTTTATACGCGAACTAGTCTCTCCAGAGGGGAACTAGGGGACTCCAGACACATGAACCGTATTCCAGTATCGGACGGAACAAAGAAATGAATAAGCTTTTAGTAATGTAGCGGTCGTTAAATTCTTTTGACCACCTTTTATTAAAACCAAGGACACCATTAGGACACATTAAATGTTGTGGAATTATTGTCTGCAAATATGAGTTTTCAGTCTAATAGGAAACCGAGATCATTAACATGAGTTTATTTTTCTAAGGCAATCCTATAGAAAAAAAAGTTAGCCTGGAGAGGGCAAGAACGAAAAAAAGATATAAGTTTGCATTTTGATCCATTAAGAATATTTTTCTTTTTTCTGATTTTCTTAGATAATTGGCTTTCTTGTAAATCCTGTCCTGCCATCTTTTTTAAATTCAGCTTGGTTATAAATTTCTTCATTTAAATTGAAAAATCATTCTCATGGTGAAGATGGAGACCAGCTTTGATTAGATTTCCTTATATCATTGATCCTACTTTGTGGTGGTCCCGATCAATGTCTCCCAACTCGATTCCAAAGAACTGTTTTTTTAAATAGAGGAGACACACTCCCTCAGTCTCTGATATAACTTCTCTTTTTTAGAAATTGAACTCTTAACTGGACTATTTTTATGAATCCCAAGTATTCGTTACCATCACTTGTCGATGGAGGTTGACGTCTGATTTTCTCATTACTATTCGATTCTTGTCTTGCGCAGATACGGTGGCCCCTCAGGTCTTGGCTCTGTCTGCACTACGGGGATCTCTCATTTTCTGATTTGGGAGCCTTCGTTAATGGTTCGAAAACTTTTTGACAACCCTGGATAACATACTTGATGCGCCGCTCCTTTAATTTTGTTTCCTGTTCCAATTACGGATGACGTGCAGTGGTTTCTCAGGTCTTAGTTATGTCTGGATCTCTTATTTCCTGATTTTTTCAAGTCTTTGATTTAACTGGTTCTAGATTTGTTATTTAACTTCCTAATGTGCTCCTAATATGGAATTTGAATCGTTTCTATTTTAGTCAATGGTTTCTTTATTTCAAGAGCCATTCGACTTCTGATTAATTGACTTCTGATTTATTCCTTTTAATTTAAAGTCCCATTTGAGCTGAGTTGTAGCTTGGCCATTTTAGTTAGAAGTGGGTGAAGCTCCTTCCAGTGAAAGTCCTGCTTCGAAAAATTCTAAAAATTTTAGAACTATAGTTAAGCAATGTTTTGAATAAGGAATGTCGCTTCTGGGTTCTCTACTTTATTTCCTGATCAGATACAAGTTGGTAGAGCTTTGCCATTGGAAGGAGCAAAAGTGGGGAAATCAGGGAAACCCACACTTTTATGGGGGTAAAAAACGATATTTAAGCAATGATATTAAAAACGATATTTAAGTTTTGAATGAGGAGAGTCGCTTCTGGGTTCTCTTATTAAAAAATGGTACTTTATGGCCATCGGGAGAATGGGGAAATCAGAAAAACCCACAATATTATCGGAATACCCCTTGAAAAAAATTCGAAAAATTTAAAAACGATAGTAAGCGATATTTTAAGCGAATGAGGCAAGAAAAAAAATAAAAAAATAGGGTAAAAATAAAAAAATTCAAAATAATTGGTGGCTGCTAACTATTAAACAATAGTTAAGCAATCGAAAGATTCTGCCTCTTTAACGTTGTAATTCAATTGATGTATTTTTGCTCTAATATTAAGCATACCTCGCACCGAATTCGCACCAGAGCGAATATGAGCTTTCGATCCTTAGATTCTTAGATCCTTAGATCCTTAAATATGAGCTATCTTATGTTAGATTTAAATAAATTTATTAAATTAAATTAAAATAAATTAAATTTCAACTTACAAGTAAATTATAATAACAATTTAAATTCAAAAACAAATCCAAAAATTTTAGAAACGGCGTATCCGTTGGCATCGGCCCCGTTGAAGGCCTCCATCCGGCTTCAAGTAATTGACAGCGGCACCAGCTTATGGACTGCTTTCCTAAACTCCGCTCCTGAGCTAGTCATGACGATGGCGACCCTTACCCAAATTATTTGACCCTGAGTCAAATAATTGAATATCGGTAAAAAAAAAATACCAAAACTTATAGACTAGATCAACGAGATCAGCTGTAAGCTCTCAAAGTTAAAAAATGGTACTATACATTTTTCAGGTGTTGAATTTGGCTTGATCGACGTCTTTTTTAATATTTGCGACACTTTTTTTGATTTTGTCTGTTCGAAAACAATTTTATCATTTTCTCATTTTTCAAGGTATGTATTAAACAAAGAAAAAGGTTTTGTGACCTGTGAGTAGATTTTGCATTCATAATTTATGTTTAAAACCAGAAATGTTTGTAGTATATTTATTATACAAATATACTTTATTATAACCTTTATTATAACAAATTTCAACTTCTGTGAAGGAATACTTTGTAATACTTTGTCGCCTCGGCCCTCAAGAATCGTATATTTTTGGTAAACTATGGTTCGTCTAGTGTATAAATTGTCCATGTTCAACTGCCCCAACTGTTAAATATAGCGATATTTTCAGGAATCATGTCCGCCTGTAAACAAGAACTTTTTGCAGTATGGCATGGGTGTTTGATCACATTTTCAGCGATATAGTTGATAAATCCAAATATTCCGAGACGGACTTGACATCTACATATAGAATGTACCATTACAAATTTTTGCAAAACTCTTTCTAAAAGATGGAAAAAATCGAATAGATGTAGGGTGCGTTTCGAGAGGAAGAACTCGGGTTTGTTAACCGAACATTTGGTTCTATCTACTGTCTACTTTACATAATGGGATTCGTTGCTTTGAATGCATGCTGCACATTGGTTATCGGCTACCCATTAAAAAGTGGCAAGTGAGGGGATCAGATAAAACCAAAGTTGGTCAATGAAAAGCAACCATATAAGATGGGTTTAGAGTCGAAATGGCTTTATTGGTTGATATTCCAATGCAAGGATCGGTCATTAGTGGGAATTTGGCTAGGCGATTTTTTGAGAACTACAATTTGTTTGCTGAATTAACCGGAGTGAACAAGGAACTTATAAAAAAGTTTATCACTGATTTTGCGCTGTATGGCTTCCGGAATTATTATTAATATTCCAAGATTTTGCGAATATACCTTCGAAACTGCAATAACACAGTGCGACAGTGATTTGGAACTTTTGAAGAGACCTAGTAGGAATTGTTCATTAGGTCGAGTATATAGTGTGCCATTTCATTCCGCCTATTCCTTTCTTTCACACACTTTTACTCCGGAGCGCTATTAAAATCAAAATTTCAAACATGGTTTTATACTATACTCGACCTAATGAACAATTCCTACTAGGTCTCTTCAAAAGTTCCTCCAACTTTTCTTATTTTGTCGCACTGTGTAATTTTTGTTAGGGAATATCCGTGGTTTTACATGCCATCCTCAATGGACAACATTTTCATTCATGGGGGGATATTATAGAAAATGTACCACCTCCGATCGGAATGATATCAGAAGAAGCCTTAGAAGCCCGAAACAAAGATTTAAGAAATTTTCGCTTGAGCCATACGCGTAAAACTCTCGCCAAAACACAATGCATTTATTGTTAGTATCGTCAGATCCACTAATTACAAGCGTTTCCAAAAGTTCGGCCAACAAATCCAGCAAGGCAGTTTCCTTTGAGATTGAAGGCCAGAAGAAAATTCGGATTCTGACTCAGAAAAAAATGTAGATTCAAACTAGGAAACCTAA